CGAACAACACGGCCTATCGAATTCACCAGTGGCTACTTGGTAACGTTGAATATCGAGTCTTTCGTGGCGGTTAGTATTAGCTGATGTACGAAGTCACACTTGTTTTAATCTCTGATCATGTTCAGGTATCAAGTGGCATGGGACGTCAATCTCGCGAGATTTATATTTCGAAATTTAAATAATAAGCTGTAATCACAAAATCCATATTTGAAAAAATGGCAGGCGTATGTAGTAAATAAAGTCATTGGCACGGTATAAAATTCGACTGAATTACTGTATTCGAAAACTTCACGTTACATTTGCATAAATTTATACAAATTTATATAAATTTCGCCTGGAAATTTATTTTTAAAATTGGCTAAACTTCCTGAAAGAATATTTCACTATTTTGTAAGTTACTAGAAAATGAAGGATGTTTTATAGTACACCCTTCGTCAAAGATATTAAATAACAATAAATGATTTTAAAAGATAATCGTAAGACTACTTTTATCATTTAATTAGAAACACTTAATTCTTTGAAACGAAAAACAATCTAAGTAATAAATCCCAATTTTATTATTACAGTTAATGAAAGCTTCGTATTCGGTGTTCAACTTGCTGAAACAGACCAAATGAAAAAAACGTACCTTGAAATTATTTCTTTCGATTCTTCCGGAGGAATAAGTTCCACAGATGTACCAATGCATGTAGAGTACACAGCAATAAATTTTACATTATCAACTACTGAAAACGTACCCTAATAATTGCTTTGGTCTAAACGTCAACTCGTGTTACTGTGTTTCGAGATTCCTCTGTTTCCGGATCTCGTTATTAACGTGAACAATCAGGATGAATTCAGTGACAATTTGTACGCGACGCTGATATTCTTTTCCAGCTGTTGCAAGTCACTGATGTCGTTAATTTATCGGGGAGATATCGAAATTTCACTGGACGCTCTGCTGGAGGAACCTTTCGTACCTGTGAACACAGAAGAGGACAAGATTCAAATGAAATTCGAGGGACAAATCGAGTGAGTTGATGTCAACAGATCAACTTCTCAAATTATGTAAAAAAAAATTATTATTAATGAAATTCAATTACTCTAACGATCTGTTGTCCATGTAAAATAATTCAAGAAATGTATATACAGTCAGCTTCTCCAAATCTTTCTCGACAGTCTGTACTGTCAGAGGGTTGACTGAAGAAAGATATGTATGATCTTCTTGTAACAGTTGCTGAGGACTGCCTATTCGATGTGTAATTTATTCAAACAAAGCAACGCAGGGTAGCAAAGTAGAGGTACGACCAAGTAACAACAATGGTCGAGTAACAACAATGGTCGAGTAACAACCATTCATTAAACGTCAAATATTCACGTAAAATTTAGTAAGAAGTCGCTTTCTTTTTTACTTACACGCAGCAATAAATCTCAGTGAGATACAATAGAAGTACGACGTTCCCCTTTTCATTCTTCTTTCTTTCTGCACGACAATAAAGCCATTTTCCCAATCATCGACCTTCGTCCTCGACGTTCGCTGAAACTTCAAAGTAGTTGAGCCTAATTTTAATAATAAATGTCTTAGCCAGAAATGGAAGGATATACAAGTATCGTACCGTAAGACAGATCGTTGAAACATTAACAAACGTAATGACATAGAACGTAT